TACGTCTGTCCGTCACGTCCTATCTCTGTTCTGTTGGATCGCCTGTCGACTTTAGCGGGCTGTACAAATGGAATAGATGTTTTATGTGTGCAGCCTGATGGTCATGTCTGTCTGGATGAGCTCTTTACCTTACATGCCCTTAAAGAATGGTGAGGTTATTATAAATTAAGCCAGAGCAAGTACATTTTTGAGTGAAGAAAGTTGAAACACTAAATGCACCAAATATTCTATGGGTTAATAGCACTTCTCCTGATTTTTACTGTCTAAAAAACAGGAAAAACAGAACTAGTGAATTAAAAAAAAGATTTTATTCCTTATTTACCACATCTTAATTATTCTTTCACAACTTTCAGATGCCAGAGTGGAGTTTTGTCATCACAGTAATGCTAACAACAACTAGTATGCTAACAACGTACTTCCTGATTCTCCCACAGTAAAAGTTTAAGTGAATGTAGACAGCAAATAGTGGTGTAATTTTGATCTTGAGAGCTACTTCAAATACACGAGAAGAAAATCTGGTACAGCCATCGAATTTAAAGGAGCAGTGAGTAACTTTTTTGGAGGGAATCCCCAATCTGTCTCCATGGAAATGTTTATACTTTGGTTTAAACTGTCCACAGTATGGTATTAAACTTGTCTGTCTTGCATTTATTGAAGTACAGGTGTTATTTATTGCTCAAAAATATCTGTACCCATTCTTACTGTGATTGAGGTTGCCTCTCCACAAATCTAACCTGTAATTTGGCTTGCAAGTCTCTGTAGAGATTCATAAGTTTACTGTGGAATATTCTAGACACATCGCCATGGTGACAAGCAAGTGATGGACCCACCAGAAGACCAGAAGTTACACTGTGCACCTTCAATCTATTGTCCTATAGTTTAATAATATCTTTGATGGGATTTGTCTCTTCTCATTGTTTATTACATTACAGAAGGGTTTTATGAATGCACAATTGAACTGGAATTTTCCTCATTAACCTTTCTGAGCGGCATCAGCAAAACTCATTTGTAAATAATGATTTTATACATCAATGAAAGTCGATGCAAAACAACATAAACCCCACCTGAAAGAGCATATTGATCTGTTCCTCTGGACTTTTGAGACAATTTCTCCAAGTTTCAAGGCTGCACAAGTGGAGAGTCAATAGCTGAGATACAAAGGAAGAGGATGCCACCTTAACCTCATCTCCTTGTAAGTTTCCTACAAACGTTTGGGAGTATAATCACCTCTTTAGGCCACAAACAGCATGGGCCAGTGCACACAGCTTTTTCGCATTCATCCAGACAGCCATGCTAAATGTTATTTTCTCCACAGCCAGGGATAAGGGAGGCCAGTGGACGGGGCATTCTCGCTGGGGGTCAGCTCCTCCGGGGAGGGCTCTGAAATGGGAATTTTGTGCCAGGCTGAGCAGCAGTTTCTCCGGGACTAACGGCTGGAAATCGTCCGTGGTGTGACTTAGACAGCTAAATAAACACTTCCACGACAAGAATGGTGAACATGATGACAGCTCAGCAGAGAGTGACTAAACTGACAACAAAAGAATTTCTTTTTGTAGTAAGAACAAAAATAGCAAGGAGCATTTTTTTATATGTTAAAGTGCATATGACAGACTACTAATTTCACTATATTTCACCATAACATACAAATTATTATAGGCACATATAAGATACAAAAAATCTTTCCTAGTTTGACAATGTTGGTGAAGTTTATAATTATAATTTTATTTCCTGGTTGGACAAGCAGGTGTGACATACTTGGAAGTTAATTCATATCTGTTACTTATATAAACAAGGGTCAAAGCTGGTCTATTTTACAAAATAAAAATGAATGACCACACTTTTATATTCTTAAATCACCGTTTCATCTGCCATAAAAACATGTGACTTGAATTTAAATGGTCCATGAACTTTTGTTTATTTATCTATTAATTGTGACAGATACTTCCGGTCATTTTCACCTTTTTTGCAACTTATCTTCATAAACTGCCACTTACCTGATGTAATACTACATACATGAAAACCTGTATTATGGATATTAAAATGATTCAAATGTTCGGTGTCTAAGGGCTGCATGTGGCAAGCAGTCACTACACATGTATTCACTATTCAATATTCACCTTATGTATTTAAAGGGCCCATATTACACTGGAAAAAAACAAAATCTAGTTAAATTAAAATTATTTAAACTAAGAACATTTTACTTTATTTGAGTTGATTCAACTTGACAAGTAAAATGATCGACCAATGGAATAAGTGCGTTTTTCTTAATTCAAGCAACATTAGCTTTTGTTTCTTATTTTAATTGCAAAAAGTTGTCGTTTTTCTTATTTTAAGTGTAGCAAAATGTATTTTCATATTTTAAGCACAAAAAGTCTAGTTCCATTGGCAGATCATTATACTTGTCAAATGAAATTTACTCAAATTATGATAAAACTTTCTTAATTCAAGTCAGCTTAACTTGGCTGGATTATATATATATATTTTTTTTGCAGTGTACGCTATTTTCTGATCCGTTATAACATTGTTTCCTCATCACAAATATACCTGGAGTTGGGTTTTGCTTCATTCGTATTTAGGCCGAGTTCTTCTCTGAAACAGGAAACACTCTATTCCACCTTGTGATGTCATGTGGTAATATACAAAGTAGTCCAGTGTGTTTTTACACTCCGTACGCATTCACTGGAATCACTTAGATAATTTGACAGTCAGACTAATAATAAAGGGTTACTTAAACATGCATGAATGAAAACAAAACTCAACTCCAGATATGTTTTTGATGAGATAACAAGATTAAAGCTCACAAGAGTCCATTTTGCGTGATATAAGACTTTTAAATTTATATGGAGGACACAAGGAGAAAGCAGACCCTACACTCTGCTGCTCTTGTTGTCTGGATCCACTCTCATGTAACGCTCTCATGTAGTGTCTCCAGGTCAGATGTGCAATGCGACTGGAGTTAATTTCATTCTCTTTCTGGGGCAGTCTGGTATTGCGGATGGATTTGGAAGTGAAGAGTATGTGGGTGAGTGGGTGAGACAAGAGTGACCATCACAGTTGAAACTTGACCTTTGATTGGTCAGAGAGCTATTAAAATGCTAACGCCAGTACAAGCCGAGAGATTACAATCCGACACTCAAGTTCAAATAGATGACGTCTTCTCCTGCTGTGAGCATGTGATTTATTTACTTATTAGACCTCAGATATAATTAAAGATCCTATGCAAAACTGAACTTTTAGCCATGTTGGAATCCCAAAAACATTCGTGAAAGTTGTGTTTTGTTTCACTCACTCACTCACTCACAGTTGTTCATTATTAGTTTGTCTGTCTCCAAAGATCAAAACACTCTGTTCCACTGTTTGATGTAATGAAGAAGAAGTTTTCAAGTTAACATACCTTTTACTTTTAGTTAAGTAGAGACTGGAAATTCCAAATGATTCTAGTGGCTTATGGAGTTTAAAAACACACTGAAGCCCTTCCTGTATTACCACATGACATCACAAGGTGAAACAGAGTGTTTGAAAGTCTGTTTGAGAGAAGAACTCAGACTAAATATACAGGGTTTCTGTGTCAAACATGTGAGAATGAAACAAAACACAACTACAGGTATGTTTGTATGAGGAGCCATTATAACTTAGATCAGAAAATAGCGTAATATGGGCCCTTTAAAGCCCCATTGTGTAACATTTTAGCTAAAAAATAGACTTTTTAAAATTCTTTTGGGTGTTTTTAATGTACTCAAAATTGCTTCCACGGAAATGTTGTTTTATATTCCCTAGTATGATACAGTCTGATTTTAACTTTTTATTTACATGGAATCATGCAGCTGACATGCCACCTCCAGAAAGTTACATAGTGTGGCTTTAAGCATAATGTGTCTAGAAGTTTCAAAGCTAAACAGCAGATGACAACAAAAAAGAGAATTGGAGAAATAAAGTTGAAATGGCTTTGGATAACAGAATCATTACAGTTCTTAATCGGCTACATATAAAAATAATCTATTTCCCTCAAATCCAATACGCCTGTTTTCTCTATTATTTCAGTTGCCACAACGAAATTACATTTTAGAGATAACATTCATTTAACCGACGTTTATTAAGGTTAAATAGAGAACATAGGGGCATTTAAATGTGGGCAATGACTCTGTGAATATGACTCATGGTAACATTGACAAGGGACAGGTAGATGACTTTGAGGAGGATTCCGTCTCCACAGCCACTGCACTTAGGGAATACATTATGGTACTCAGTTCTGTTTGAAGGGAAAGGTTAATCTCATGTCATTGTAGTGCATTAGTTAAAAAACATAATTTAACATGTGCTTCTCTCATACATCTTTTCTGTGATAGTTAGAGGTGAATTTTCTGAAATGAGAAAACTGAACGTGCCTTGCGCCAAAATTGGAGGAATGAATTCTGATCCTTGGTCGTCATTATGAATGTTAATCAACTGTTTTAGCACCCACTATTACCTATTTTAAACCCGTCATTCTCTCAGACTAATCATTAGACTATATCCTGGTCATCGCCTACAGTAAGCCACTCTGCGCTGTAATTTATCTCATTTCGCTTCCATCGGCGCGCCCCCATCCTAATTACGCCTCATTAGTAAAGAGACGCCATCAAAACAAAACTTGCGGCTCCTAAAACGTTTGCATGTCGAGAGGTGAGGTTTGTAGTGTATTTAAAAGCATGCGACAGTGACATAAAAAGACACGTCAACCGATCTATCCTTCAGCGCACGCACTGACCCAGGGGCTGACCAGCTGCCCGGAGCGCGCATCCCGCCTTATGAGTGGATGTGCGCGAGCCCCTGAGCCCCCTGGACTCGGAGGGAGGGGGGAGGAGGAGAAGTTTCCCCAAAAGACAAGCGCGGATCACTGAGAGACGCGGAAAGAGACGATGCCTTTCTCGTATAGACCGAACTCACGAGCTGCGCAGTGGATTTTCTGATTTCCTTCAAATTTATTTTTCTTGAACTTATTCCGGGGGTTGGGGGAGATATTTTTGAGACAAAGGATGCTCCCAAGGCTCGTTCGGATTGTATATGTCCTGTCTTTCTGGGTTTTCCAGGGAGGATTTATCAGGTGAGGCGCGCAAACATTTCTGATTACTCTCCTTTTTGTCAACTTTTTCTTCACATCTCATCATCTCACGCGTTACACAGTTTCGTCGTCTTTTCATTTTATTGTTTGGATTTTATACAGTAAGGTAAACATTATAGATATTGAACTATACGAAGAAAACGATGCATTTTCAAGGTGTAAATTCGCACAAAAACAGGCACACAACAAGCGGCTGTTGGGAGAGGAACGCACGCTTTACGCACAGTAGGATCGCGCACCATCAACTCTGAAGTCACTTTGATATAATATAAAGAGGTTTGACTCCGGCATCTTATGTAACTGCTATAATTAATTACTGTTCTATTGTAAAGAGGTACCCATGAAATATCAATTTAGGTTTTAGAGACAAATATTTTTGTCAATTAATTCCGTAAAAGACAATGGACGAAGTATGCCTTTCATTCTGTTCGCAAACTAAGCATATTTTTCCCATTGTCCATTGTGCATATTGATTATTGACGAGAAACAAATAAGAATAGAGCGGTCAATGTGTCTTCTCTGCTGCTTTACCCTGTCATTACACTTTGTCCATACAAGTCACTTTTCTGTCTACTTTTAACACACTTTCTTAAATAATTTGGTTTTCATCCCTGGAAATATTGACATAGGTCATGGAAAAGTGATATCTTCATAAACTACGAGTCAGTCAAGAGAGTCTTAAAAAGATGTATGGATTGATCTCAGCAATGAAATACCTTGTAAAAACTGTGCAAAATTTGGATTTATATACGCGGGAAGAACAGAAGAAACATGGCTCATCGAATGACTACTTTTTCCTTTGCTCCTTTGCTCCTCCGCCTCACCCCTCTCCTGTCTGCTGTCTGTCCGTGGCCCAACTTTGATTTGCTCTCTGAGTACTTTTCCCCCTATTTCATGGCCCGTCAAACTCAGGTGTGAACATCTGCATAATCCTAGAGGGAAGGAACCGGCTCATGACCGGGTGAATCCCCAGGGTGGAGAGGGCCCCCGTTTTGAGAGAGAGAGAGAGAGAGGGAGAGAGAGAGAGAGAGAGAGAGAGAGAGAGAGAGAGAGAGAGAGAGAGAGAGAGAGAGAGAGAGAGACAGACAGAGAGAGAAGAGAGAGAAGTCAACAGTCAGCTGTACTTCATCTTTGTAGCGCCACGCTTTCACAGTAGCCTTTTGGACACAGGTGGGAGGAGTCCACAAATGTGGTTGGGGAATGATACATAGTGTATCTAGGATGCTGTGCAAAAGTTTAATGATGTAAGTAAGGTGTGGAGAAGGTGACACTGTGAAATGGCTGTCTGTGATGCCCCATTTACATTTAAAATATAAACTTTATTGTACTATTTAGTTTAGTGTATTTTGTTCAATTCTCTTTGTGAATTGTGCATTTTGAATTACCTCAAGAACACGAGTTGGCTCTTCAGAGTGCTCAAATCATTTGTTTTTCTGTGTGGTCATCGTGTATGGAATTAGTTTCTTTGTATTTAGCACTACAAACTATACTCTCAGCACTGGTAGAAAAACCACAGAGTACACTGAGGATGATTCATGTAGTCGTTGTAGATCAGAAAAGTGGTGGTCATTTCAGAGCGATGAGGAGAAATGATTTGGATAGAGACACCAAGAGATGAGAATGTGCTACTGTCACAGATCTGAAACAGTGATTGTCATGCAAAATGGGGAGCGAGCTGCTTTGGTGTGATGTGTTCAATGCACTTATGTGAAAATGAGAATCAGGATGAAGGGTGTGTAATAGATAAGTATATTCAGAGGAAGACTTGATGGCAATAGAGAGCTCCTACTGCCTTGGTGTGAAATACAAGGAAGACTGCTGGTAATGTCGCTTACAGTTGAATTGTCAGCAAGATCCTCATGACTACAGCTGTCAGGTACTACTCTAAAGTGGCCTATAGGCATTTTCCATGAGACTGTGGCTCAAGAAGAAAACAGAATAACTGAGCACTTAATGAGATAAAAGGATCAATTTAGAGCCGGGTCATAATACTTCGCATTTTCACTTATGGCTTCTGCATTGATCAGGTGGTTTCTCCATTGCATTTCTGATCCTTGGAGGCTGTGTCTCATTTAGTCTTGTATCATTTTCTGATATTGCCTTGATTACTCGAAGAGTTAGGGTCAAACCAGGGTCAGACTTGTAACTGCTAAACCTATGCTGCTCAATATTGCAAAGTTTGACAGTTCCAGTGAAAAATGGTGCTGGTACTTTTATTTGTTTGATAATTTGTAAGTGCAATATTTGTATAAAACATGATAATAGAAAAAATAAATACATAAATTGACATTGCCTAATTGCACTTTATAGCACCCTCTATTGGAGAAACATGCCCCTAATCCAAACTCACTACAAATACATGTGGGTAGTACTGAAAAAAATGTTTTAATTGTGCATGTTTAATTTAATTTAATTTTTTCCTGACAAGCATTATGTTTGCAAGTAGATTTGAAATGTATGTTTTAATTAGGGCCGGGCACGTTAACGCGTTAACTTTGCATTAACTAATTAAGTCATTAACGCCGACAATTATTTTAACGCCGTTAACGCAGTTTTTATTATTTATTTATTTTATTGTAAAGGTCTGTTTCTCACTGGCTTTTATTTTGAAAAAGTCCACCGCGAGCGTTTCTTTAAGTTTGACGTGTTTTCTTTACACTTTTTTCACTTTTTTCTGACCACGTGAGATGAAACGTGCCCGAGCCTCCGCGAGCTGCGGGCCCGGCCGCGGGTTCGGCCGCAGGCTCTGACTCCCGTCGCGGCTCCGGCCGCGGACTCAGCCGCGGGTTTCCAGTAAAAGAGCGCTATACTCTACTTTTTAATTCATTAATTGGTTTTGCGTATAACATGCGATTAATCGCTCGAACTCATGCGATTAATCACGATTAAAAATTTTTATTTTTGCCCAGCCCTAGTTTTAATAAAAGGATTCTGTTCAAACTTTTCACATTTTAAATGCCTGCAGAAGTATTGACATAAAGACTGTAAAATAAAGCAACAAGAATCAGATTTCAGACCATGTTTGTACAGATTTAAACTCTAAAGTTTTTATGCAGAATAAGACAGAGATACAGGGAAATTACAGTGCTTCAAAAACCAAAGCCTTTGCGATTTGCTAATTGCGTCCATTCAAATTGTGATTTCAATTAGATAACGTTTAATTGTGCAGCCCTTCATGTGTGTAAAGGATACTAGTGCAGTATGGCATCATTTATGGAAGACAAAAATTCATAACTATTAGCTACTATTATGAAATGCAAATTCTTCAAAGTTATTATTTTAAGCTCCAAACCATTTAAACTGAGTTATGTTTTTACCCAATGGAAATTTACTCTTTGGATCTCTGCTTGTTTGATTTGTGTTGGTGGTAATCTTTTGTTTGATTCACATTCCATTTAAAAGACTGTGGTGTAATTTTCCACAGTTTAAGAGCCACAAAACCCCAGTTCTTCTGGGGTCCCATGAGACAGTGTCCCTGATGTGATGGAGAGCGCTCTGGCAGTTAAAGCCTTGAGAAAACAGTGACTAGCATATAATTAGATTTTCTCCCGTTCTAGTTGTATTGGAGTCATGATCAATATACAATATAGTTTCTATTATGAACACTATATTGAGAGTGTAGAAAAGCACTTTGGCGTATAGGAGCAGGAAAGGGTTGGAGGAGCAGGGAGAGACATTTGTCAAATTAGAACCTGAAATCATGATGCAGATGGGGGAATGATCAACCGTATCCTAACAGTACAATAAGTAGTAATAGTATTGGGTCACTTATGCAATGACTTTAGATTTTTGCATTTATTTAATTAGCTTTTACTTTGAGCCTCGTCTCCACCTCCACAGATCTGACCTGTAACTTGGCCCAGTGATGTATTAAGTGTAAAACCTGGGTGTTTAGTTTACTCCATACTGAGTAACATCTCCAAGGAGACATACTACTATTTCTGCTACTACTGCTGCTGCTACCACTACCAACCGAATGACGAAGATGAGAATGCTGACTGGGTAATGGTCAAAAGGACAAGATGGCAGATACAAGCAGTTGAAATGAGTTTTCTCCTCAGGGTGACTGGGCGCTCCTTTAGAGATAGGGTGAGGAGCCCAGTTACACGGGTGGAGCTCGGAGTAGAGCCGCTGCTCCACATCGAGAGGAGCTAGCTGAGGTGGCATCTGTTTCGGATGCCTGCTGGACGCTTCCCTCAGGAGGTGTTCCAGGTATGTCCCACTGGGAGGAGGCCCAAAACACGCTGGAGGGACTATGTCTCTTGACTTGCCTGGGAATACCTCAGGGTCCCCCCAGAGGAGTTGGAGGAAGTGTTCGGGTTGAGGAAGTCTGGGAGTCCCTGCTTAGACTGCTGTCCCTGTGACCCAGCCCCAGATAAGCAGAAGAAAATGGATGGATGGATTAAAAAAAAACCTAGCCCTAGTCAATGTTATGAAAACAAAAACAAGCAATTGTAAAGATGCAAAATGTTCAGAGCATTCACTTAAAACCACATAAAACAATTGATTTAGCACAATGGCAAATCTCTTCACAGTTAGTTGATTTTGTTTCATGTATTTTTCTTCTCCATTGAGTTGCTGCTGCTGCTCTTTGTGGTAGTGAATTGTGCTTGAAGCGGAGGACAGTGGATGAGATGAAGGCTTCCCTCTGCCCTTGCCTTAAGTCAGTGTGAGCTTATGAATCATAACTGAATATGTATTATGATCCAGGGGAGTTAGGCCTTCACTAATATAAGATCTGATATGCTGCTGGAGAGGCTGTGGATCTGGGGAAGAGCTGGTGCTCTGCTGTCAGTGAAATGAGTGAGGAGGAGATAGAGAGATGCTCGCTTATTCTGGGGTCAGAACTTAAATTAACTTATTTCAGTGCTGTGTTAAAGTAGGACAGTGAGTTTGTGCTGTGCTGCTGTTACACTATTGTTACTTTTAGGAGTTCAGCTGGTGGAGTATTATAAATATTACTGCTAATATTTCTGCCTACC